ACAGACGAGCCGAAGACTTCATTCCTTACGCTTCTGTCGTTTAAATCAGGTCAGATGAGTGTCATCCTCCCCTCCCCTATAAGAGCATGGTAATCTGATTCTTTCTACTCATGCCTCTATCCGCTCTACTCTCCTCTGCCTCTTGCTCCCTGGGTTTATCCCCAAACTCTGTCTCGATGTCTTCATCACGGTTGTGTTATGATTGAATTATGGCCTCTGGAGTGGCTCTATAGGGCCCTATGTGGCTGCTGTGCTGTCACCGACAGACCTACATCTCCCCCCCCCCCCCATGCTGCCCGGGCCTCTCTCTCTCTGCCTTTACACTATATGCTCGCTTGCCCTATCCACCCCAGCACTGCCCTGTCACCTCGCATCACAAGGGAAGAATGAAGAGCAGGACAAGAGGAAGCAAAACAAACACTGACCTCATGGCAGCTTCTCTGCCTGCAACATGTATGTGTATGTGTGTAAATCCACGAGATGTGGCAGAGCTGGGGACATTGTGTATGGTTATCAGGGAGGTAGAGCAGTGTTTTTCTTAAGGTTTTACACCAGTCCTCCACGCTGACCTTTCTACCTCTCTGCCTCGTGTTCTTTCTCTGTCTCTTATTGTCTTTCTCGCATTACAATTTGCAAATGCCACCTACCTTGACTTTGGTTTATTTTTTCAATGATGTATAGTTCTCAAAATCCTCGTTATTCTCTTCACTCAATTAGATGGGCGAGATGAACACATTGAGTATTTGCCTGCCATCTGTTTCCCTTGCTCAAACTGTACAAATACAAAACATCCCTGTTATACTGTAAATTCCATCTCTCTGTAATATACATACAAAGACAAAGACAATTATTTGCAGAAATGCACAGATACGTAGCAGTGAATTGAGGCGGGGGTAGTGTGAAGGGGGTTGGGAGGCTATCCAAACAGGATGGTTAGAAGCATGTTGTTTTAATTAGACCTGACAGCCTCCTCTCAGAACATGAATAAAAAGCGAGACCTGGACTCATGCATAATGGTTTGGTCACAAAAAAAACGCGTGGCTCACACTTCAGACACATGTAATGAATGCACAGATTAAAGCACTGATAGTGCAGAGGGCTGAAAGAAAGTATGTGTAAAAAAGCAGAAGGAGTAATGACTCAGTATCTGAAATCTTTGTACAGTACATGAAAAGAAAATGAAAATCCATTTTCTATTTTCTCTATTGATTCCTCCTCTTTATGAGGCCCTGAAAGCAACACAATATTTGATCTGTTGCGTTCAACTCTTTTCATCTTTCAGAAAGGAAGCAACTTATTTTTCTTTCTACTGAATCACGGGCATTGCGGAGTCCTGGCCCCTGATTTTCATCACACTTGTGTGACTTACCTTTACTACCCTCGCTTCCTCCTTCCCTCACCTCCGTGGCTCTCAGAATAGTCATATGCTCGTTTCCAAGGCAACCAACCAGGACCTGTGTCCGGGGAGGGTTGACAGACGTCGAAACGAGCAACATGAAACAGTGGTAGCTCACAAAACGCCAAATACCTTTTTATTAGACTGTTGCAACATGAGTTATAAGCTTGTGTGATATAAATAGCAAGTTAGAAAAAGTTACACTAAAATGCTTACTTGTTTCATTCAGGACTAACACAAGTGGTTTAATATTTTCCCTCGCCAAATGAATGGAGCGAACTAGATTTTTCAGGATAAGCTGTATTCCCCCCGGAGGACAAGAGACTTAATTTTCATTCCCCCAGGGTCGCTACACCAAGTAAGCCCCATTAATGTAAAGCGAGAAATAAAAGGCTTACAAGGAGTGAGAAAGGAGAAGAAAACTCAGTGGGCCTGCACTAAGAGAGAACACTGCTATCAGTTGTCTAATTAATCTGTTGGCACGGTGATGGGGAGCGGAGGGACGAGGAGCTGCAGCGACAACAAGAGACGAGAAGAACAATAGAAATCTCAGTCTCACACTTTTTCACTGGGGTGTTGTATAATCCTGTTATTTTGAGCAACAGAAGGACAATTAAAAGCAGGGCGCTCGGTGTAAAGCGCTTCAAGGGTCAGAGATTTTTGAATTATCTTGTGTTCATTCCCACAAGGGTGACATTACACTTGTGACTTGACTCTACACAAAAATAATGTTTTCCTTAATATTGCTTGGGTTAAAGAAGACCTTTAAACAGGCATGCACATTTTAGCTGACAGATTGCAAATTGTCAGGCTGCCCCTCAGAGTAATGCTATTACTCTCCAACAGGAGGGGGTGTTTCTCGTCCTCTGTTGTTGGGGAACTCAACTCAAGACAGAGAGGCCTGACAGGAGAGTTTCCCAAATATACCCCAGCTTACTCCAGCCCCTGAAAGACAAGGTCAGTTATTTTAAAGTTTTTTTCTTTTACTTATTTAACTAAATTGGAAACTTTATATGGAGAGGAAGAGCAAAACTCAAACAAGAAAATTACCAGAAATGCGCACATTTAAAGAAAGTGGCCACATTTGGTGCAAGGTTATCAAAGCATCATCACTCACCTTAAATTGAAGCGTTGGTAGAATTGTATTTTGTGAAGCATCTTCCTGTTTGAAAGATAAGAGTAATGTTTGGATTGTGTTATGAAACCCGTACGATCTAAACTAAGTGAGAGAGAGAAGACGCTGCTGTTGTTGAGCATCGGCTGATACTAGATATCAAATCAGAATTAATTTGCAGGGGGATCTTTTCATTACACTTGGAACATCAGTCAATATGTCTGTCCCGGCTCCGGCTCTAGGAGAAAAGCTTTCTGGTGCAGACCCAGGTTCAGCCTTCACTCTTCAAACCCAAATCCACGGGACAGAGCAGGAGTGCAAACACTGACTGAGACTCTCACAGATCTTAAAAGAAAACGTTGCTTAGAATGAATAACTGAAACAATGATATATGTATCCTGAATTACATTTTTTCTTTTTTACCAAAACCCTTTGATCTGTCACCAAATAGTTAGAGTCAGCTCCATTTGATAACCAAGTTATTTTTTACTTTTACAATAGAAATATTCCTCTAAATTCTCTTTGTATTTCTTGAATTCTTTTTGAGGAACGACAGTCTGAAATGATCAAGGATAGACAGAGCACAATCAATCCTTGGATTTCTTCTCTTAACCAATAATTATGTCCTGATTATGGTTATCTACCTGTCAATCAATAATTAAAAATCATCAAAATTACGAGTGAGAAAAAGATGCTGCTTCGTTGTGCGGTAGATTAGGAAGTCAGAGTCCTTCACTTTTCTGAGAGTAACCCTGCATTTCCCTGTGATGAAGTCTTAAAGATCTGAGGAGCATCAAGAGACATATCTAAGAGAAGTGCCTTCAGTTTTTATTCATGTTCCTTCCCTTTTCTTTTTAAGTGATCTGCAGCTTCAGAGAGAGGAGGGAGAGAGAGAGAAGGAGGGAGAGGCAGAAACAGAAGTGTTTTCCAATAGAAATGAGAAGAGTCAAAGTACTCCTCAGTTGGGCTGAGGCTGTCACCGCTCAGTTCAAAACACTCTGCCATGCAAAACAGCCAAAAGCCTCTGAAACCTGTGAAATGACTTCACTTTGAACATCAGGGAAACTCGTTCACAAGCAGGTCAGACTCTTTCAAACTTTGAAAAATATTTAAAATGTCATTCAAATAATCAGTTCCTGGTGGCAACATCTGAATAACGATTACTATTTGAAGTTCCACATTTCTGTTTACTTTTATTTGTCTTTGTCAATGAAGATCATTGTTTAGTTTATTGGCAAGCATCTAGGAGTAAATTTGTCATAACCACAAGCATGCAATGCAAACACACACACACCCACACGCACACACGCACATAAACACACACACACACACACGGACACATAAACACACACACACACGGTTCTCATATTCTGGAGGACAGCTGCAAGGGTGTGGAAGCCTTGGGAAAATGGATCATGGATAGAGGCCAATCAACTTCCTCCGTAGCCAGCACCTGTTTGTCCGTATCTGCTGCTGACAATTTTACAATAGGAAGTGATTATGAAAATATACAGGGAGTAATAAACACAGTCTGTGAGTAAATGCAGTAGATTACTGTCACAAACATGCCTTTTCTTTATGTTCTTAAAATGTAAGTTCTACCGTACAGTAAGTGTAATGATTTTCTGCCTGCATGTTTGTCACTGAGGTTTATTCAACAGAGATTATGCAAATGTGAGTCTATTACACATCCTGCCCTAATTCACTAAACCCTGTTATAATTAAGGCACACATCCACCGTGGAGAAACCCCCCCCCCCCGCACACACACAAACACACCACAATAATAAAGTGTTACCTTGAAATATTCCCTCGACCAAAAAGAGAGACGAAGCGGTGCTGAGATGATGACAGTTAATACGCACTGATGTTTTTGTCACTCTGAAAACAGCGCTGAGATTGTGCGTGTGCACACATGTGTTAGTTTGTGTCATGAGAGAGGTTGTGTGTGCATGTGTGTACGAGCTGAGGGGGGGGTAGACGATCTTCTCTGAAGCGGCCCAGGCAGGCATCAGCACTCAATCATCCCAGATCTGCCAGACGACACCAGCAGAGAAAACACATTACCCGTGTCGTGTCGCCTCGTCTTCTTCTGTTGTCTTCTCTTTATTATATTTAGGGCTGCCTTGCCTCAGGGTCAGGTGACAATCTGCATTCTCTTTATACAACTTTTCTCAAAACTGTCTGGAGTTTTTTTTTTTTTTTTATATTGCATTTTTCAAGTTTTTTTTCTACCTCTCTGTTAAAGGGTAGCTGTTGATGGTTTTGAATCCCTACATGAGTCCCTTTGCAGATGACTCTGCTGGCATGGTGTCAGAAAGAAACTAACAGAGAGCAGCGCTACGCATTAGACAAAAGATGAATACCCTCAGAAGGGAGGGAGGGAATAGAGAGAAGAGGCAAAGAGCCCATTTGAAGTGCCTGTCTAAGTTTTAGTAAAAAAAAGCGTTCTTTTACAACAGCATATAAATATATAAATGAAACACTTAAAGACATTATCAGGCACTTTTATTCCCCCTGCCTTTTGTGTGCTGGTTGAGGTGGGATACAGAAGGGAAGTAAACACATCTGCATATCTGAGTCATTGGATCCAAGGGAACTGTTATGGGCTGTCTCTGCAAATCTCTTCTCTGTGCTCCGTACAGCCCACCAGCAGCTAAATAAACCCCCTACCCCGCTGATGCCGGGTCGGTTATTTCAACAGTCTTCCTTCTAATGTGCTTGGATTTGAGGGTGGCCAATCTGATTTCAAATGGCTGTGTACCCTTTTGGTTGATATGTTTTCAGGTTTGCAGCAGAGGAAGGCGTGGCCTGTGTCGCTGATGTTTAGCGTCCAGTTGACGGTAAGTTGGCACAGTTGGCGTAACAGAGTGGGCCAAGACCGGTCAGGCCCTCTGTCTCCACGGTTGCCATCACCTGGACAACCAAGCGTGCCAAGCCTGTGGCAACATCCGAGGGATCAGAGGAACGGCATCAACTGGCAGCCAGCGCCAGGACGGGGACGTTTTCTCTCTCCACCTGCTTCATGGCAAGCTCATGTAAACAAAATGCTCACACAACACTTCAGATAACTGCCCGCAAGGTTGCCAAGCAAGACTGTTTTCATAAAAAAAGACAAGATAAAAGCTTGATGTCGCCTCAAGTGTTGCGACCAAGTTCCTCCATAAAGCCAGATTGTTGTTTGGTACGTCATGTACAACAAGTGATAGAATAAGGGATCAAAAATACTGACAATATAATTGCTATACCCAGTTCCCCTGTAAATGTTTGAACGCTGTAGGTTGTGGGCCGTTATCTATGTGCGAATATATATGCAGTACAACACAAAACGGGTAAAAAATCCGCCCCTAATTTCCCTCACTGTTTATTATAAGATGTCAGGAGGTCATGGACAAATGAAGCACTTTAGACACCTTAATGTGTTGTGTGTTCGTTTTTCCATGCCTGGTTTCCTTCTAACCTTGAGATCCTTTCCTTTTTCTTTTATTCACTGTTTCTTACTTATGTGTGTGTCCATTCCTTCTGGTCAGGAGGACTCTTTGAGTGTGGCTGTCACCCTCAGGACCTGGCTCATACAACAGGAATAATGAGCAACTATTCTGCTCTGTCGCAGCGAACCAAACAAGGTTTACAAAGGAGAAGGACTCCGGGGGTCAAGGCTGAGCACTGGCTCTCTTTCCCCATCTCAAACAGGCCACACACACACACACACACACACACACACACACACACACACACACACACACACACACACACACACACACACACACACACACACACACACACACACACACACACACACACACACACACACACACACACACACACATACATCGCTTCTTTATGACTTCCACTTACTTGAGTACGTCCCCATGGTAACCTTGTCTTCTGCAGCAAATGACCGGGATGTTGTGATGGGGTCTCGGCCAAAGTTTATTGATCCACAAGATTTGGTGCCTGTTTCAAAGAAAAATCGTGTTCTGCGTTGTTGAGACTTGCAATCGATAAGAAGAAATCCCTGGATACAAACTTGATGAATTTATTCTCAGTTTATGGGCTATGTTTGTGTGTTCATTTCCAGCCCTATGTTCCAGCAGATCACTCTGAGTCTATTTGGTTATGCTTTGGTATGCTGGGTGTGTGTGTGTGTGTATGTGTGTGTGTGTGTGTGTGTGTGTGTGTGTGTGTGTGTGTGTGTGTGTGTGTGTGTGTGTGTGTGTGTGTGTGTGTGTGTGTGTGTGTGTGTGTGTGTGTGTGTGTGTGTGTGTATTTGTTCCAGGGGTACTTCCTGTGGTTATGTCTATGCTGCAGAGATGATTCATGACTTTTGGCGTTGTTTCAGTGAGAGAAAATTCACACTATAAATGTGTCTCTTTTCAACACTCTATGTCACACACACATAAACACCAACACAAAAACACACAACAACACACACAAACTCTCTGGTGCTGTTATGTTGCAGTGTTCCAACTCCCACACAAATAGACAGAAATGAGTGCATCTTCGTTCATGCTTTTTGAGGTAACTGACACAAATGAACCAAAAATATATTTAACATGCACTCATTTCTCACTTCTTCTGACTAGAGGCTCATGATTGGGGTTATAAATATCATAATCATGTAACAAAAGGGAAGATTTAAATTCATTCATATAAATAAGCAGTTTATATAACAGACTCCTTTCATAAATCTGTGTCTTAATTCGATGCTCCGCTTTATCAGGAAACGCTGCAGCACATTTGCGACTACAGTACAAAGGATAAAGTCCATTTTTCTGTGTTCTGAGTGCTGAGCGGAGGTCACGGAAAACAATAGCCCACGGGAAGTCAGAGCAGCTACAAAGGCACGAGAGCTTGAGAATATAAAAGAATATAGGATATATATAAGTACACTTGTTTAAAAACTAATTTTGGGGTCCAACATTTTCTCCAACAACACACAGAATGAAACCCACAGTTAGTCAAAGCAGCAGCAGTAAACTGTGCTGTTCACCTTATCACCACATCGTGTTATCGTAAAGGGGAAAGTCCGCGCACAGGAAACTTTACAGTTCACTTACAGTATCCAATTACAGTTCAGTCAACATTTTTTCCTTTTTCAAATGAAGCCACAACTTCCTCATTGCTGATTTTCCACGCCTCTTTGTTGCTCTCTTTCTCTTTTTTCCGATTGTTGCGTCACTGGGTTGTGGCTTTCTCACTACTCATAGTGCACAGGAAGTGTGTTGTGACAAAAACAGGTCCCTGTCAATGTTTCCACTCCTCACTGAACACCACAGAGCTAAATTTAACACCAATAACAAGATCACAGGTGCCCAAAATACTCACTTCCACATACATAGAGGTTGAATTTAACCTCTCTGAACTATTTATACTTAACCATGTTAATATACTTATGTCTGGGCTGAGGTTAAGTTTACTCTGTGACGCAGTCTGCCACAAAGGAAACCGACCAAGCCAATTAGCGAGCCATGGGCTTAGAGAGGAGCTAGAAAAGACACTACAGTTAGCCGCTAAAGCTTAACCGCCCATGATCACATGAATGAAGTAAACAGATTGCCACCGACGTGTGTGCATTCGACACCTGACCTGAGAGCCAGCACACAGTTTTGACGCAGAAGTCCTCGTCATCGATCAGTATATTGGATTAGTCGTTTACTCTGGCCAAAAGTGTGGCCAAGACACATGAGGACACAACTTCTGACGTCTGTGTGTGTTACAGAAAACACGTATATAAATGTGCATCATTACTCAGTCTATCAGCCCTTTTCGCCAGTAGTCACATTTTAGGAACTGAAACGTCTGCCTCCTCATAACCTGCAACATCTGATGTCACATGTCGGAGTAAGAATAGAACAGAAACGGCTATTTTAACGACATGCATGGTTTGTGCGCTTCGAACCACAGAAAAAAGGAAGGGTGACAAATGTTTGCTAATAATAAGTATAGTAGCAGGCAATGAATGGAAAAAGCAAAAACGAAAGAGGAGTGGAAAAAGAATTATTTGAAAGAGAAATATCCAACATGTAAAAGATGTGAAAGAGACCATGGATCAATCCCTCTGAGGGGAGACATGAGAATATGTCTGTGAAGGACCAGCCGTATCAATATCAGCCCATTTATCTGGAGCAGTCCTCTCTCCACTCTGTCTTTGTGTCGAGGGTATTGTGAGGCCTGGACTGAACCCACATCTGTGCTCTGCCAGCGTACAGTACACTCAGTAGCAGTGCAGGAGGGGTGAGGGGGGTTGAGAAAGAGGCCAGTGGACTTGGACAGCAGCCAGGGCCAGAGTGGGTTTAACTCTGGCTAAAGTTACGCACTGCTCACAGCGACTGGCTCTGCTCACTCTGAGCATGGGAGCAGAAGCCAATAGCGGGACAATTACACCGGGCGCTGCCGAGTCACGTTGGCCAAAGTCTGGTCTATGTCCATGTGGGTGTAAGTTCAGCCACACACACACACACACACACACACACACACATACACACACACACCATACACACACACACACACACACACACACACTGTACACTCGCTACACACTTTGTTTTCCCACAAGTTGCTTTAACACCGCTTTTACAGAAAGATTAACTTATTTACATTTTAAGTTTTTTCAAGCTTTAGGATTTTTATACTTAGTGAAACATTCAATCTTGTTTGTTGCTGGCTGAAGCATTTTCATAAAATTATATAATAAAATTGCCAAAATTCAGCCCTGGTGTGATTTTTTGTGTTTGAATAATATTTGGCTTCATTAATGCATTTATGAAAGTTAAGCTTACCAGAAAGCCTCCCTCATATCAAGATCTGTCACATGTGAGACCTGAAAACATAACACAGACAGATATATATATGAATGTACACTCGATATACAGTATATACCCCCACACACACACACACACACACACACCACACACACACACCACTAATTAATTAATTACAATTAAAACATTCACTAAAAGTATTACCCAATTTAAATGAAACAACTTTATAATCCCTTAGAAGAATGACTGTTTCTAACTTCAGTGACGACCCAGCACACGTCATTTTGGTTTAATGGGTTAAAGGAAAAGATGAACAAGTAATCAGAGGCAGAGTTTCTTTTCTCTTTGTTACTTCCCTCCCTCCTACTCATTCCCTCTCATATATACTCTGTCTCTTCATCCTAAACTTGCAAAATCTCTGTCCTTCTGCCAGCGTTGTTCTACAGATAGGCTGAAGTAAGATAGATGTGGTGGGGCTTTGGAAAAAGCAGATTAGCTCTTTTTATCACTTGTAGAAAAGGAGCAACAGGGCCGGCTATAAATAGGCAGATTTAGTCCTCCCCACCACTCAGAGCTCGACAGGAGATCAGACTCAGGAGTTCAACTTTAAGACCAGGGTCACTGTGTTACTATGGCTACACCGTCATGGCAGAGTATGAGTCAGGGGGTGTACATAAGATTATTTGTGTGTGTGTGTGTGTGCCCCACCTTAATGTTCTCCGGGTCCCTTCAGCAGCAGCAGCAGCAGCAGTCTCCCAGCCCCTGTAGAGAGAGAGCATGTTGGGTAACAGCAGTCTGGAGTTCCCCTGGACTCGATCCAGACCTGCCCTCCTTCTCCCCTCTCTCCCTCTCTCCCACCCGCTTTCCCCTTCTCCCTGCTGGCTATTTCACTGAGGAGAGATATGGCTTTATGCATGTGTGTGTGGACATGCTTGGGTATTCCCAACAGCCCATACAGTACAACTGCTGGTTTATTTGTCCTGTTCACTGCGGGTTGTCTCCTTTTGACATTCTCAGTGTTTAAACACCGCCCTTCCTCTAAACACTGCTGCTGGACTGGCTTTCCATTAACCCCCGGTAGGCCCAATAAAGTATTACATGGAACTGAACTGGAGTCAGTGTAAGCATCTCGGCGCGTCTGTACTGACTCATTTTCTCTAGATCCCCATTCTGAAATGAGAAATTAAGCTTTCAAAACAAATTGTGCCTATTTATGGTTCTGAGCAAGCCCAGTAAAGAATACCATCATCAACACAATCATCATCATCATAGCAACACATGTTGAGTAAATTAATGAATGAAACAAATCTGTAAGATTGTATCTCAGGGGTGATTAAGGTGGGCAGACTCTTAAAAAAAACCCTCTAAGAGATTTACAGTAACTGACATGATTCAGGTACTGAGAAGGAAGTTACCTATTTCTTGTTTGAGCTGATTCAAAAGTTCAACCCTAAGTATTAAATACAAGCATAGGTACAGTCAGATGTACACTATAGGTTCCTTTTTTCACTATCAAATGCTTGAGCATGATTCTGTAATCGACACATCCAAAACACAGAAAAGTAAATGGTTTGAGGTCAGATAATGAGAATAAGCAAGTTCACAAATGTGAAATATGTCAATAAGGCAGCACAATTACATAGAGGGCCTGTTTTAGCATGTTTACCTGCACCCACTACATTCAGTGTTTAGACTTCGTGCCAGAAGAGCAAGCTGCCGCACGCTTCTGCCACACAAGCACACAATAGTCACTCACCCTGTCTTCCACCCTGTGCTGACAAAGCACAGCGTCACAGTTTCCGAAACCTCTCCTTCCACTTTTGCATCACCCTGCATGCAAAAAAACAGAAATGTGAGTGTGCTGGTGTAAATGGAAAGTCATAAACACCAGTGACAGCAGATGAGTTTGATGTTAGAGTACATGGAATGACTGTAAACATACTGTACATGCAACATGGTATTACAACACACATTATCTCTCTCTTTATTTCCCTTCTGAAGTGAAGATGAAACTATTTCTTGTTATCATCCAAAACCACATTATTCAAACTAAGACCAAAGTGGAAACTGAAGTTATCTATTGTTATTGAGAAGTTACCACATAGTGCAGGAACAAGAGGCGGATAATAGATTTAACTGAGGGAATGATTTGCAACTGCTGACGTCAGCAAAGTCTAGCCCAAAAAATATTATATCTGATTATAAAGTTTCCATAAAACACTTATGTGCCGTGATTCAAGATGGTCATCTGAATGTTAAGATTGTGTGTTTGTAGTCCCTCTGATTAAGTAGATAATTGATTTAAATTGGATCAGTTTATTTGTCTGGTTGGCCTTAAACAAGACCACAGTGGTGGATGTCTGAGCCAACAGCCACTGAATGAGAACGAAACACAGGACAGCTTCCTCTTTCCACCCATCAGCCGCTCAGCTCGCTGCTCTGTCGCTGTTCTTCCTTTCACTCTATCGTTTTCTCCGACTCAGCCCAGTGATATCACGGAGCAACGGATGTGATGTATCACTTCCTGTTTTGTTTCAGTCGCACTGCCAGCGACTACAGAAGTTGCAGCTTGCTGACAGCTGTGAGTAGAGCTGGAAACATGCAAAGTAACGAGGTCAAAGGTTAAAGCTTGCTGATTGTAAAGTGTTTATAGCCCTAACAGCTGCATCTAAAGCCACTGAACATTTGTTGTTGATTTTAAGGCACACCTTAAGGTTGTCTTCTGTTGTAGGCCCAGTCTTATACAGGCGTCTTCAAATCGAGTTCTCAAACCGTACATGTTCACAAATCACTGAGGGTGAACTTTTTTTGCATAACCAACAAGCAGGGTTCACATTGCTGGAGGACAATACTTTGTTTTACTGTATTTTTATATATCGTTAACTATTCTGCCAAAAAGAGCAGCGGTAAGAAAACTGCAAACTCCTCTCCTCATCATCTGTCGTTAGTTGAGAGCCTCCATGGTGACAGACAGGCTGTGACACCAGCCCCTGGTAATAGAAGGCAATTATAAGCCCTGGCGAGAGCTCTGGCAATGGGGGAAAAACTTTATACAGCCCCCCCTCCTGGGGCCCTGACATGCAGACACAACTGAAATTAATTGCTACAAAACATCAGGCAAGCTTGACGCACACATGCGCATAGTCAAAACTCCTGGAAAGGAGAAGAATGTGAAACAATACCCATCATGCAACGTTGCATTGATGCTCGTGTGGAGGCAGAAAGAAGAAAGAAAAGGCGGCAAAGAGAAGCAACAGAAAAACAAGTTAGATTCTTCCAAACAAATCATGTTTTCATCTAAATAAAGAAGCCAAGACAATAGACTCGGTACCTGGAGACCCAGGAGGACTATTTCTCCATGGCAACAGTGTGGTGTGTGACAATGCCGCAGTGCGAGGGTTTGAACTGCTAAAGCTGTCTGGGAATGCAGAGATAGATTGGGGAAGGAGAGGAGACTCAGAGAGTGAGACCCATGGAGGGCCCGTCTGTGTGCTCGTAATGAGAACACACACCTGTCACATTCCAACTGCGAGAAATATGGAAGTTCATGACTTTCCAAATCACGCTATTTTACTCTTTGACTCTTTAAGTCAATACAGAGAGAAATCCCTGTTTCCTAACTAAATTATGACCTAAGCCTGTTTATGTTTCCAACAGTGCATATCCAAAGTTCTCACACGTAACATTTCTCTCGGTGTTGCTATGGAGTTGTTCCCCTGTCTGGCTGTTAGAAGAAGCAGCACCATGTGGCCTTCGTAAGGATATTTATTTTAATTGTGTGGGGTATTGCGGCCAACAGACTGTCAGGCTATATGCAGGGTGTGTGCGTCAGCACACTTGTGGATACATGTACTCACGTCGGCCCTCTGACATGATGTGTGTGTACAATGTTTGGTGGGTGTTTGGGTTCAGTTGCCACGTGCACGCCGTGTTGCATAGAAAGACAAACACAAATAAGGACACGTTGATGTGGTCTTTGTGTGTGTGAATTATTGCTGAAAAGTGGGTGATAAAGATAATATAAAAGCTTTTAACTTCCTGTTTGATCAGTACTCCTTGTCTTAAAATCCTGGGATTTAATTGAGATTACAGTTCCATACTCTTGACTCTTTAAAAAAAACTGGAGGCAGACTGAGGTAACTTGATGTCTTTCAAAAACTGTACACTTTGCAAGTCTCAACGCCGTCCTCGCCCATTTCTCCTTGTCAGCATCACCCGACAACCATCAACATGCAATCTCCTTTGTGTGTCTTTATTTTTATTTGCAGTGCGCTTTATAGAAATTCATTACACCGTCTGCCGCCAGCGTAGGCAGAAAAACATTCCCTCGGCTCAGCTGAACTCTCACCCTCCTTTAATGTAAACACTGCTCCTCAGTCACGTTTCTCCCATTAAGGTAAATGCCTGCATTATGTATGAATCTAGACTTCTTAATCCAGTTGCACCATTAACCCTGCACACCCAAATGTTTTCATAGTCCTTGCATTAAGAGAGGGAAAGAGAGACAACTGTGACCCTGCTCCTCCATAGAATGTAGATAGAGCTAAACTAAATTACTTATAATTAATTATCACTTAAGATGCTTCATTGCCCTGGCTGCAGTTTAAGTTACAACATCTGTTGTTGTTCTTCAGTCCAAGTGACCAAAGTGACATTTGGCCCCCCGAGCCTTTACTCTTAAAACCATTGTCCCATGAGCCAAATGCTTCTGACAGTTATTCATTTATTCATTCCTCCCTCCTTCCCTTCCTTGTTGTTTTTTTCTTTTTCGTCTTCCTTGGAAGCAGTAAGATGGGTGTTGCTGTTGTTTGTCGTCTGTCTGTCGGCCTCGTCAGCCGTCATGCCTGTTGACGTATGGCACTCGGAGTTAAATGATTATCGTATGATTGTAAAAGGTTTGCGGGCATTCTGATGCAGACCTGTCTCCTCAGCCCGTAGGCTATCCCATGTTGCAGTCTCAAGCTGGGGAAGAGGGGAGGGTTGGATGGTGGAGGGGAGAAGGGGAAGTAGGGGGGGGGAGAGGGGCTTACCTGAATCAACCTGTCGTACCTGCCCTGAGGCCAACCTGTCAACAACCCAGCCGCGACAGTCGCTTTCTCTTCCAACTCTGTGTCTCAGTCACTTCTGGCTCTACCTTTCCATCACTTCCTCTGCCTGTGAATCGCTCCTTTTTCTCATTTATCTCTCTGCCTCTCACCCTCTCTACCCTTCAATTTACTTCAGCTCCAACACTACAAAACAAATAACTCTCACCTGGGCAGATGTGCCTCCATCCAACTGTCATTTCATTTCACAGCAAGGTATAAAGCTCTGGCCATTGGACCCATGGAGACTATTTGCCTTGGCAAGTTTGGATCTGACTCAAAACTCAAATAAACTCTGGAGAACAACTTGATGGTTTGTGTGTGGGTGTGTGTGTGTGTTGTGTGTGGTGTGGTGTGTGTGTGTGTGTGTGTGGTGTGTGTGTGTGGTGTGTGTGGGGTGTGTGTGTGTGTGTGTTTGTGTGTGTGTTGTTGTGTGTGTGGTTGTGTGATTGTGTATGCCCGCCTGCCTGTTTGTATAACACAGGGTTTAGACAGGTCATCCTTTGAGAGACAGGGTGACTTCAGTTTGCCAAATGTTCAGTAGCTTAGGCTTTGTGTTTATAGCTCTTAGTTCAGAAATGAAAAGATAAAAACCAAACGATCTCCCCTTTCTTGCCATTCTCTGAAAAAACGTCAAAGCGGCAAGAAGTGAGCAAGGGTGATGGCGTGACTGTCTGATGCAATAATAAACCCACGCTCTTCCACATAAACAGATGTGGACTGGAAGTGCTCCATATCACTGTGGACTAAAGCAAACTCACGACAGAAATCTGAAGACTGTAGTAGAACAAAAACAGGTCTGTGAGTTTGGATGTTTTCTATCTGCTCCAACTATGTATGCACATGAGTCACACCCAAACGTGTTCGCGAAAGACAACAAACCAGTTGCTGCTCAGTCTGGACGCTGAGGCAACATCTTTCTGCCTGCCTCACTCCTAGTCTCTTCCTGTCTGTCCTCGCTGTCCCACATGAAGACGTCAGCAGTGTGGAGAAGCATTTGGTTTATAGTCAGCTCAGTCAATCAGCCAATAAGAAGCGTTGTTCCGGTTGCAACAAGGTACAACATCCAGGCAGCTTTGAAGTATAAACCTGAAATGGCTCTGGTTTGGTCTGTCACCAGATTTATTTTTCAAAAAGAGACTGACAGCTACAAATACCAAATTGTGGAAAATACTCCATTAAAAGTATAGTCTTGTGTAAAATCCCTAGCTGATGTGAGTGGAAGTACAGAAGTAGTATCAGTTCTGCAGAAAAATTGCCTTTTTAACTGATGTATTATTGTTGATTTCTATACATACATAGACAGCATGTTTAAGTGTGTAGCTAACTAGGCGTGTTAGATTGAACTTATTGTTTATACAATAGGTGGTTTCAGAAAGTGGTTTCCAACCTAGGGTTTGGCCCCCCTCAAGAAGTTCACCAAGATTTGAGAGAGGTTAAATGGGGTAAGTAAAAGAAATACAAATGATTGCAACAAAATTCATTATCATATGTTTTCTATGCTAAGAAAGTAATTATCTATTTAATGGATATTTAATGGATAATTATCTATTTAAATGGACTCGGAGTACAACAATAAAGTGGCATTCGATAGAAATAAAGACAAGTACCTCAAAATTGTACTGGAGTCCGTCAAAGGATCGAAATTCCACCTCACAATCAAGTAACAGCACATCAGGTGAATTTACTTATCTAGGCAAGGTAAATTCAATTAGATTTATAAAACATATATTTGTTGTTTGGGCAG